TAGAATTTTAGAGTCATTTTAGAAAATCGAGTAATTCGATGAATTTAGTGAATGAAATCATCACTTTCAACCCCTCACCGAACGACTCATACCGGCTTGAAGCGCTCAGAAATAAGAAAAACAGGCTGAAATCACATGATATGCTCCACTATTAGCGTTCAAATTTTATCGCTTAGCGTTCCGCACATCTCAACTTTTTTTATAAACCCCACCAACCCCTCGCACTCTCCTTCTTTCTTCTTCGTCGCACATACCTGGATTCAAGTAATCATACCTGTGCAGTAAGTTTTTTCCCATCGATCACTTCTTCTATTGAAGTTCAAGATTTCGAAAGAACGATCAACTAATATCTCCTTTCAATAGATTTTATTCAGAAGAAACAACTTCCACAAATAACAAAACTCAACCGTCAATATGGGGTAAGTTTCAATCCATCAGAACCATCACAGTTTTCCATCGACACTTCCTTTTCTATTATTCTTCGACACGCATCTCAATAGACCCTTTACTGACCTGTTTTTGCCATGTAGAAAGGAAAAGGTTCATATTAACGTCGTCGTTATCGGCCACGTCGACTCCGGAAAGTCCACCACCACCGGTAAGCAATACCCCTCCCGCAGATCGACGAACGCAATCTACAAATTTATTCACGAACACCAAACTTACAATATAAATAGGTCATTTGATCTACAAATGTGGTGGAATTGACAAGCGTACCATCGAGAAGTTCGAGAAGGTAAGAATTTTTCCTCCTTGAATACTTTTCTTTCTCTATATCCTTTGTTCATGAGCAGATTGGGTGCTCAATGCCCAATCTTATCGCACTGTGCCCCTCGGTGGGGTAGAGAATTCTCCTGTCTCACCTACAGATTTTTTTTGTGCCCGGACATTTTTATGGCTGGCACAAATCAACTCATCTGCGAGTCACAATGTGCCGCACATCGGATTAAAACTTTTATCGCCCTATGACCTTTTCGATATTCTGCAACACGTTTTCAAATGGTCACTAACAACCACCATAGGAAGCCGCTGAACTCGGTAAGGGTTCTTTCAAGTACGCATGGGTTTTGGACAAACTCAAGGCTGAGCGTGAACGTGGTATCACCATTGACATTGCTCTCTGGAAGTTTGAGACTCCAAGATACTATGTAACCGTCATTGGTACGTTATTTTTCATCTTCGCACACGATCGTAGACTCTTCTAACATCATTCCTAGATGCCCCTGGTCATCGTGATTTCATCAAGAACATGATCACTGGTACTTCCCAGGCTGATTGTGCCGTTCTTATCATTGCCGCTGGTACTGGTGAGTTCGAGGCTGGTATCTCCAAGGATGGCCAAACTCGTGAGCACGCTCTTCTCGCCTACACCCTTGGTGTCAAGCAACTCATTGTTGCCATCAACAAGATGGACACCACCAAGTGGTCCGAGGATCGTTACCAAGAGATCATCAAGGAGACCTCCAACTTCATCAAGAAGGTCGGATACAACCCAAAGACCGTTCCTTTCGTTCCTATCTCCGGTTTCAACGGTGATAACATGATCGACAACTCCCCTAACTGCCCATGGTACAAGGGATGGAACAAGGAGGGTAAGGGAGGAGCCAAGACTACCGGAAAGACTCTTCTCGAGGCTATTGATGCTATCGAGGAACCTTCCCGCCCAACTGACAAGCCCCTCCGTCTTCCTCTTCAAGATGTCTACAAGATTGGTGGTATTGGCACGGTGCCAGTCGGTCGTGTTGAGACCGGTATCATCAAGGCCGGTATGGTCGTCACCTTCGCCCCAGCTGGTGTCACCACTGAAGTCAAGTCCGTTGAGATGCATCACGAACAACTCGTTGAGGGTGTTCCAGGTGACAACGTCGGCTTCAACGTCAAGAACGTTTCCGTCAAGGAGATCCGTCGTGGTAACGTTGCTGGTGACTCCAAGCAAGACCCTCCAAAGGGTGCTGAGTCCTTCAACGCTCAAGTCATCGTCCTTAACCACCCTGGTCAAGTCGGTGCTGGTTACGCTCCAGTTCTTGATTGTCACACTGCTCACATTGCTTGCAAGTTCTCTGAGCTCCTCCAAAAGATTGATCGTCGTACCGGTAAATCTATGGAAGATTCTCCAAAGTTCATCAAGTCAGGTGATGCTGCTATCGTTAAGATGGTTCCATCCAAGCCTATGTGTGTTGAGGCCTTCACTGAGTACCCACCTCTTGGACGTTTCGCCGTCCGTGATATGAGACAAACTGTCGCAGTGGGAGTTATAAAATCAGTGGAGAAGCAAGACAAAGCTGGCAAGGTCACCAAGGCCGCTGTCAAGGCTGGTGCAAAGAAGTAAATCTGATGTGCTTTGGTAAAATTTGCTTTTTCGGGTATGGAACATGGATTTGAAGGTAGTTTACATAGCTTCATAGACTTTCATCCCAAATAATGAATGATTTCTTCAAAATAAAAATGCCTTGATTGAACGTGATATCTTAGCAATTTAATCGATTTATCTTGATATTTGTATCGATTGAAATATTTCAAATTTCTACAATACATGCGTAAAGATTATCCTATATAACATAAATCTACTGGTTTATTCTCAAGTTTAATATCAATGAAGAGTAATTAGGGATCAAAGGAGACAGGGTCTTCGAGCTATTCGGCAGAGTGCTGATCTCAGGAGCCCTACATTCTGTTATCATCGATATGCCTGTATCGGTGTCAGCAAACATCAAGTCTGCATCTACTCGACTGCAGAAGTCTCTATCAATACCACATTTACAATCTAACGAAGTTCTGAGTCCAACCTTTGATATACTCGCCACAAATACTCGCGGTATACCATTGATAACATCAGAACTACATCTACTGCTCATCTGCCATGATACAAACCCATTCATTACACCAACTACATATCTATTCCATCCGCTATCTAATATCCTATTATCCCCAGATATTATTGAAAATGGATTCCCTGTTTTGAAAGGTATAATTCTCATATCTTGATTTCGCTGTATATCTAAGGCAATTAGTGTTTGCAGTCTTGGGGGAGCGCTTAATAGTTTTCATTTCATTCTGGATATATAAAGATTCGAGTGCTTATTTGATTTACTTTAACTAACTTGAAATCACATTTGATAGATCGTTTATATTTCTATAACAAATATATCTTTGTTTGTTTCTCAAGGATCTTTTCAACAAGCTATTCACTGGATATCCAGTCACAAAATTCTCAAATTCAATTCCAACAGAGTTCTAGATCAAGGAATGATATGGAGTGCAGATCGATGTATGCCGATATACAAGATGGTATTGGATACAGAAACACAAAAGAACCTCATCTCCACCGGTCAGGACAACACAGTACTTTTCTATTATCTTAGGAGAGGACTTCTCAAGATTTTCTATCTGTCGATGCATACCGATGAGTCAAAACGAACTTCAGAAAATTTCGAAATTTTAAGCTCGATACAACAACCAGGACAGTCATCTATCTTTTAGTCATCTTTTTTTCATTGAATATTATATCGCTTTCAATCATTTCCATCATATTTTCTCACTGGAATTTACATCTATATTATTCACTATCTAATATTTATAAAAAAATTGTTTCAGATTTTGAATATTATACTATCAAATACTTTTTATAAATATATCAATATATATTCTCATTAAGGAATCTCTTAATTTAAAGAGAATCGGAATATTAAAATATTTAATATAAATATATAAATTTTAATATAAACAATATAAACTATAGACTAGAATAATTAAAAGAATTAATTAATATAAGTAATATAAGTAATATAGAATAGTAATTCTTAACTAATAAGTTTCTCTAATAATCTTTGATTTAAATTATTTAAAAGTATTACGGAGCTGGTATAGGTTCTGGTAGGGACTAGATAAGATGTATAATATTTGATAATGAGAGAAGAAGGCGTATAGAATAATAATAACTATATAATAGATGAATACCTAAGATATTCATCCGAGCTAACTAGGAATAGATAATGAATCTGTAATAATATCTTTCTCTTCAAATCTTGTTTATTCTCAAACAAGTATATAGTATAATAAATAATATAATACCCTCTCTTTTCTATAACAAGTTATATCAAATTATTATTATTATATATCCTAATTCTTTTGTTTTATTTATTATTTATTATCAAAACTATAATTATCAAAGATTACTATATGAATGTAATCATTGAATCGAATGCTTTTCTTTAACTCGATATTACTAACTTATAGGTTTTTTTCCCCTAATAAAGTATTATAACCCAGGTTTGGCAGACAATAGTGCTTGTATAATTAATGCTTTTGCTAGGACAAAAAGTCCCTTTACAATAGGATCCTGAAGGATCTAGGTAAATAGACTAGGCTTCTCCAGGTATAATATATAATACTCTATTAGAAGCTTTTCGTTTTTTTTTTCAAATTCAAATATTAATTATTAAATCGAAGTATAATATCTCTATTTTA